TTAGGGTTAGATCACGCGGAAAACTAACCTTCCCATAATTTAGCGCAAGTTGATCCGTATTTCTGGGGGTGGTGGAGGGTGGAAGAGAAACGGTTACTATTATCGAGTCTTGTCTGAGCAACTATAGACGATTTTCAATCTTTGGTGGCCTTGGTATTGCTGGTTTTTGTGGCATAATCAGGCCAGGTTTATGAAATCCCTGACGCACTTACATCCGTAGGTAGGCGGTAAATTGTCGGACTTTAGTCCAGCTAACGAGGTGAAATAGGCCGGACATTTTAGTTCACATGTTTGGGATAATTTCATAGCTTTAAATAAACGTTTTTAATTTAATGTGATGTTTATATCATACCGCAATTTCATGGTGGTTCACGCGGCCCGGCAGTCTGTGTCACGAAATTGCTAACCACTCCTTCATTCATGAAAATTCAGTATCCTCCCATAATATTAGTATTGTCTTAAAAGATAAACAAATATTTGAGATTTCTATCATCCACACATGTTTTCATACAATCTTGGCTTCTGAAGCCAAGGATTTTCAGCCATCTAGCGTTGAGAATATTATTTTCATACTATGCGGACCTTGATTCGTGACCCCCATAGACGTTTACATATCTTATGAGGGCCTAACATTACGCATATATTCAACGCAAAATATCAAACTGTTTTTAAGTCATTGATTTCCCCTTTTTATAGAGTACATTTTTGGAAAAGTATTTATCACATTAAGAAGGGAACAATTATTGCATCTACCCGGAAGAACTTTTAATCGTGTAAGATAACTTTGAAACAAGTAAAAAGTATGTCACTATATATCGGTAGCGGCATTAAAATTTGCATCTGCGAACATTATACCTTCGAAAATATCTCGATAGGCAATACGAATTAAAGAGGGATTACCTTACGTGGTACTTGCTGCTGCGAGCGCGCTAACGGAAATTTGGAAAACAACTATGCTCCTTCTTTTTCTTGGCAACTTTTCGCTTCATCCTTATATCAGTAACTCCTTATTTACACGTTTTTATTCTTTTCTAGCAATGTCAATCTTCAGCGTCCCTGGTATTCGTATGTCCTCGGAGTCTCCGCGGAGATCGGTCCACCGACCAGTTCGACCATCCCATTTGAAGGCCGTTACACCTTGCACTTACGCCGAGGTGCCGCCAAGACAAACCACTTCACTAGACGACGAGGAGGGGTATGCTGTCCCGGGACGGCTGATGCAACCCTGCGATGCAAACTGCGTCTCCAACGCCCCCGTCGCACGTAATCAACCCCAGAACAATACTCACCAAAAGGGCAACCTGTCCGCTGACATGGCGGCCACTTCATACACCCCGGTCTGGAAACACTGCGAGTGGCAGGATCGC